CCTTTTTCTGTCAATCATATGGGATATTCACTGTTGACTTACAGTCTTTGCTCATAGTTATTGTACCAGAGAGTGGAGTGTATTAGGGAAATAGGTCGGAGAGTTGCAGAGGCAAAGAATATCACCCAGTACAAGTCCAAGTTTTACCTGAACAGTCCCAAGGTACAATTCCTCCATTAGTCTAGGCTCTGGTTTCAGTTTAGCAGTCAAATTTTCCTTCCATCATCTGGCAAGAACAGCAAAACTTTTAACTATGACCTTTATCTCAAGGCTCCTCTGGGTTGCACCTTGCCACAGTTTCTCCACAGCAATGCCACACTGTTTCCACCACCATCACTAGGGTCTTTTTACAAGAATTTCACTCTTACCACGATTTTTCTCCATTCTCCCTCACATCTTGCTGCCTCGTGTGGGGAGCACTCTCTCTCTTATCCTTGTCCCACAGCTCTTGATGATTTGCAAGACCAGGTGTCTGCAGTTAAGGTAGCTGGAGACCAGAGGGGACTAACGTAATGGCTAGAAAAGCCAACATTTTCTATTTCACTATTGACTCTCCACTTTTCCCAGTATGATGTGGTTTTTTTGTTTGTTTTTTCCAAAGACTGACTACTCCTAACAATATGACCAAAGTATATGAGATGAAATTTCACCCTACTTGCTTGTAAGGAATGCTCTAGTTGTGTTTCAGTACTCTTCTCTAATGCCACTACTCAAAGGCATCAATTCTTCTTCAGTCTTCCTTTCTCTTGTCCAACTTCCAAGTGCAGGTATAATGGGTCTGCAGTCTGTCATGCCTTTGCAGAGTGAAGTTGGACAGCACTTCTTATGTCCTCATTAAGAAACAAGGATAATAGTAGTCTATGAGAATGAGTATGAACATTTGTGATAATAATATCTGCAAACCTTGAGTAGTTAAATTCTTTGTGGTAATCGTTATGAAAGGCAACTTTGAAGGAGCTTTGAAATGAGATAATTCTGCATTGTAAACCCAATTCCAATACAGACTGAATGATACTGGCCAAATAATTTATTCTTTCAGCCTCCATTTTTCCATCTGTGAAATGGGGAGGATAGTACCTACTTTGCATAGATATTATGATGTAAAATGCTTAAATTACTTGCTACAATGCCTGACTCAAAGAGTTTAAATTGTTATTACTAAGCTGGCCATTTTATATATACATATATATATTTTGTTGTTGTTGTTATGTGCTGTC